GAAAGTTCTCGGAATTTCTCTAATATCCAGTACAATTTTTTTTCAGAGCATGCTAGAATGTTCTGCGTGTGTTTATAAGTAGGTCGTTTCCTTCGTGCTCTCAAGTGGACGGTCTCCAGGACTGATTATAACTGGAAAGAGTTGGCCTGGAAGAGTTTGCGAATGGAAATCCCGAGACTAATATAAATGTCGAATATTGAAAAGAAGTTATCAACGTGTGTTTATAAGTAGGTCGTGTCCTTCGGCATACAACCGTATATTATCTATAGAATGGAAGGGAAGAGAAAAAGAAACCTGGAAGACGAAGTAGGCGCCTCTTCCCCCTCCCCCCACTTTCACGTCCGTCGCCCGAGCCAGTAGCGAATTCTGGTTCGTGGTCATCCTTCGCTGAACTTGGAAATCATGGCAAATAAGGGCATCTCCGGGCGAACTTGAGAGTGGAGGGAGGAGATGATAACTTCTTTTCAATATTCGACATTTATATTAGTCTCGGGATTTCCATTCGCAAACTCTTCCAGGCCAACTCTTTCCAGTTATAATCAGTCCTGGAGACCGTCCACTTGAGAGCACGAAGGAAAAATCTGACAGGAACACTGATGCTTTCAGTCAACTGATTCAGTCAAGCTCTCGCTAAGTGAACGCGGCCTCAGGAGGGGAACGCTCCTCAAGTTCTATGTCCCACATCGTTGAAGTCCTTAATTATTGAAGAAAGCGGGCAGGAGAAATTAGAGGTCAGGAAGATGTCAAGATTCTGCGTTTTCCGAACAGGAAGCAAAGGACTCGGAGTGAGTCATTCACGTATTGTCAATTCCCTTCTCGCGAGTAATGACGCGTAATCTCCGCATCACATAAGTGGGAATTTCGGACGATGGTAAAGGAATCCTTCGAATTACGACACTCTGAAAGTATAGTTCGGATCGTTGTACGCCTTCAAAGCGGCTTCCGGTACTCGAGCAACCATTGAAAATAGTTGTATCACCTCCAAGACCACAGATATTACGACCCATTATAACCTCTCTTTAGCTCTTGAACTATTAAGGTAAGGTTCGATACGAGTCTTGTGGTACATACCTATACCCACTTTCCACTATCTTTGCTCAATAGTCATGAGATGATAGCGTTGGTTATTTGTCTCGACAAAGCCCGGAGGTCCTGGTAGTTCTAGGAATCAGTTACAGCTCGTGTTGTCTTGGATTTGTAAAAGTTTCACTGCAGAACCAGAAATGGTTCAATCCGAACCTTCATTTATTTGAGTGTACAGAAGGCGAACATAGACCGCCTCCGAGCAATGTTTCCGTATCTCGGAGAAACTTAACGTGATTAACTTTTCAAGTCAGAGTCGAGGAGAAATTTTCCCCCTTGGATCTAGCTCACGCAAGCCCCATCTCACGAGCACACCTCACATCAAATACACCACAGTGAAAGGAAAACGAGGAAAAGACGAGACGTGATGAGACTCACCGCATTGTTGACGTCACTCGGCGATTCGGCAGACGGAGAATCCCGAACCCGGAGGATCTGGCACTGGGACGGGGAAGACCTCTCTGGATGGCACCGGAAATCTATCTGTTCGACGAAATCCAACGATTCCTTTCCATATTCCGTATACTCCACTGACCTCTGAGGATCTTGCCCTCGTATCCTCATTCAAAATACAGTCACTGCAGAATCCAGTCTGGCTCAATGTGGACAGGAAAAATTGATTTCGCATATGAATCTCACGTTTAAATATTTGTCTCTACCCGTCTGAAATAAGAACTACCCCCCACGTATCGCAAAAAAGGAAGATCCCAATTTATTCCTGGCTTTTCTTGTCTCTTCGCCGTCATACCCCCTCCACTTTTCCATTTTGACAGCGCTGTATTATCTTCCGCGGGATATACAGCCCATGTGCATCGTATCAAACTGTCGTTACTTTTATTTACTCAATGTTTTATTGCACTAGCAATCCATTGATTTTATGTGACCCTCCGACATCGAAGTACAACTTTTGCTCATTCATCTAGTTTCCCTCCACCCAGCACTTGAGAGAAAAAAGGGAATGCCCATAAGTACCATAATTCGAGTCAGAGTTGAGCTCTTAATCAATGTGCATGCTCACAATTTTTTTCAAAGGTTCATTAGAGGCTCAGAAGTCCATTCTTGAGTAAACAAACCAACGCCAACAATATCAGCTCATCGACGCAACACCGTGTCTCCGATACTTTTCGCCGACATTTAGGTGCTCCTTTCATTTCAAATGAGGATCGCAAGGCGTCTGCAACGGAAGGAAAGAGCAACGTCACCATTAAAAACTGCAAATTCACTGCAAGGTAAATTGGAGTCAGACACAAAGACAAGCAAAGGCATCGCGCATAGAGATTCTTGGATCGAAATAACGTGGAAAGGCAAAACAATGACTACTTGCATTTTATCGAAGTGGTCCCTTCCCAGTTCGTAAGAAGTATACGGTGTGTCGTAAAATTTTCTGGACTCTGAAAAGTCAGGATATTTGTCACCATAAAGGGGTGTAAGACTTAAGGAACCCTTTGAGAGAGCTTTTTTTTTTGTTCCCGCCTGTCTATTCTAAGCAAACGAAGACAGACAATGCGGAATGAATGCTACGAAAAAAGGAAATAAGATCTCTTGTATACCAGGAGATGGCAGGTCAATACTTGAATGACTTCCGACGAAGTCATTCAAGTATTGAGAAGCCGCTATTCCCCGAAGGAAATGATGTTCGCGGTATAATGCGACGCACCAGACCCATCTGCATTCGAAGAAGGCACTCGATCCGACCGTGAGCATCAGTAAGCTCAACAACTGAGGCCTATCAACGTCTCGAGTTTCCTCTTTCTCCGTTTTCGATCGTCCGCGTGACAACGATAGACGCTCTGGGTGCCTCGATTCCCAGAGCCTTTCGCCACGAGCCTCGATGATTTCCTCGTGACGAAACCTTACAACCTTGCGTGAATAGAATCCTCGTTTTTTTTTTTCTCTTGATATGAGTCATTCTCTGAGGACTGATACATGCCTCACAGACAAGCACCATCTACATTCAGGGTAATCATAAATACGCAAACGAAATGCGCTTATTCCAATGAATAAGCGCATTTCATGAACGTCCGGCTTCCGATGGAAGTTCATTCTTTTTTTTTAATGTGATATGTATTCGTCAATGTTAAATGTGATATGTATTCGTCGTACCGCCCTGAACATCCTTTTTTACCAATGCTAACTTCATGCAATTTTAGGGGAACCGAGGCCTGATTATAGTTGACCTGATATACTACGCACCTACTCAGCGTGATTTTCGTCTTGGAGGTTTACATTCTTACAGATCACTCAAACTTTGTGCCCAATATGGGGCGAAAGCATGCTTACGTAACATTTACGTAAACATTCGAAAGAGATTGTATAATTCATTGACTTCAACATTGCGATTGTACTAACACTAGGCGGTGAAAGTGGAATGAAACCAAGCTTGATTTTATTCAATTCCCATGCTAACTGCGCAACAGTACTGACTGTTGCGTGAAAAAAGGAAACGTTTACAGTACCAAAAATAAAATATGTTTTGACTTCTCTTGATTTGCTTCATAAGCATTTTATATCCGCAGAGACTTTCTCATCGCCCTGTTTATTATATGGCTCGAACTGGCAGTCGAACTGGTAATCGGAAATTCAAGTTCTTTGGGTGCCCTTGCACAGGCGTCGAGAATGATGGCTGCCAGCAGGAAGTCATATATTACGTTTTGGGGATGATAAAAAGAACTATACAACTTTCTGGAGTTGGTATGCGGGGGTGCGCGCATTAAACGTCACTCTCCGCCTCATGGTTAGTATTTATTATGATATGGTCCAGCGCCTCGCATCATAGCTTTCATCTTGATATACACGGTGGTTGACACCAACAAATGTCCCTCGTGTCTCCAAACATTTTGGGTCAAAATAGCAGGTACAACATGGTGGAGTGGACTTACAACGTGGATCCTTCTGTGTGGTGCGGTGGACGGCATCTACATTGGTATTTCTTCGCTAGGGGTCAGGTTATCATGTTGGACCTTAAACCATTGGGTGCATGATGGTGTCTCAACTATTGAAAGAAAGAATCCTCCGAGGCCTTCATCAAAGGTTTACTTCATTCATGCATGTTGCATCATTCACTCACAGGAAGTCGGTCATAAGATTGTAGCTAGGCTCTTTGGAGGTGTGCAAAGTTGTTCGTTACCGAATCCGAAGCTTCGGTAAATAGCAATTGCACCCGCCTGTCGATTACGGTCTCCTCCTCTTCCTTGGGATATGGTACACCTGTACCATCAAGTACACGCATATTTATGTACTCTGCACTTGCCCAGAACGGATCTGTCCGCTATAAGTCCGATCAAGACGGGAGCAACCAGGTCGAGCTGAGACACTTTCTACTCCGAGTGGAAGAAACTCTCTCAGATATTTGCCGCCTAGCATCAATTTAATTCTCGTGAAACCACCTACACATGTTGATTGTGAGACCAAGTCACTATCCTACCGATGTCTTGGGTGACATGCACCAGATCCGTTTAACTTTAAACTGATTCGTTTTCATAATGGGTGTCTATGGGAATAAGTTTATGGGTGACATGCACCGGATCCGTTTAAGCTAAACTAATCTGATCTCACAATGGTCCCCTATGGGTATCCGTTTAACAGAGATAAACTAATTCCCATAGACGCCTATTATGAAAAGGAATCCGGTGCATGTCACCCCTTGTGTAGTCTTCCGTCTGTTGGCATTTAAAGTTATGTTTCTTGGTAGTGGGGGAGGGGGGCATTCGCGATGAAGGCGTCTGGCACGACTCATCGTCCGCCTGTAATACGAGACGTTGGGCTTCCATCCCAGAAGTTATTGGGTACACGTCTCCTCGCCTGGCTTGCGGCAATAGGGGTCGTGGAGTGGGGAAAGTGAAACGGGATTCCCCTTCCAGATAAGGAATTACCTGTGTCGAAGAGGCAATAATGCCACCGGGCAAAGAAAAACCTCGTCAGGAGAGCAGGTCCCGCCCACAAATCACACCTTAAAATCGCATTTAAGGGGTCTGGGAGACACAATCCACATCAGAAGGTCCCACGACAACAAGCTGCATCATGTACGTCGCTGCACCTCTTCTCGTTCTATTCTTCCAACGGCTGGCGTCCGTAAGTAATCTTTACACATTATGTTTCATTTTCGTTATAAAATTGCGACTGACGAGGTGTATCAGTCCAGGCACCAATTGAATAGAGTGGTTGATTATTTCAGTTATTTTAAAATTTTCAGTTTTGAAATCGAGCGGGTGCTTACGATCGGCCAACTTAGTACAGTCTGGGGTTTTTGTGGTTTAAGCGGCCGATATTAAAGGTTGAGTTTGCTTCCGCAATATCCGAATGTTACCGCACTTTGTTCATGCATTTACTTGAAGAAAAAAAACTTGTGCGAGACTTTTTTTTTTTAAAGCCAGATACACCTAGTGCCTTTTTATACGACATGCCTCCACACGTCTGACAGTCGTTTGCCATTTAATGCAGGCTCTTGTCCTTTTTTTGTTGTAGGCCTTCCCTGTGGACGGCGATGAAGAGTGGCTATCCAAATCCCGAATTCTTCCTGACATTCTGCCCGACAGTAACTTAACAGTACCATACATTATATACACTAAATTCCCCGGTAACCAAGAAACCACCACTCATGACTTTCAATTCTAGTTTCGGCCTTGAAGAACCAATTCCAAGGGGTCGACTGGGATGGCGTTGGAGGTGCAGCTGCGTGGGCAGGAGGGAAGGTGGCCGAAGGAGCCGTAGGGGAAAGCGGAAAGGACATCTTCGATTGGGCGAAGGATTTTGCCAAATCGAAAAAGCTGAAAGGAGCAAACGCCAAGGTGGCGGAGTTCGTGCTGAAATCGTTGGCCGCTGGAATCCTGCGAGAGGCAGGGGCTGACATCTACGACTGGGGCAAGGGGAAGGTAAAGAAGCATTTTTAAAACTGATCGACGAAATTTGTTGATTCCCGCGCTCCGCGTTTTTTTTCAATTTCTGTTCTGTGGTGGGGGTCAGACCCATGTTTGCTGTTTTAATAAAGTTGATGTTCAGCTAAACTTAGTTTTCCATGGCATGATGGGAGGGAAGAAATGTTTTTCCGAGTTCTTTTCAGACGAAACTTAGTGGTGAATGAGAATCTTCCTGAAGTTCCTTCTTTTTACATCTTATTTCTTTCCAGAAGGCCTCAGCGCTTTGTCGTATCGCTTTTCTCATCACCAAGATAAGGCTTTACCTTGGGACTTTGAAGAATCGAGGAAAAGTAACCACGAGAGAACTCCATTAAAGTATTTTATCATGAAGACTAGTGTATCGCATATAAATAAACAAAGCAGCGTCTCAACGACAATTGAGTTGAAAGATTCAGTAGTCATCCGAGTTATTGTTGCAAATATTGAGAAAGCGCATTTTCAGTCGGGAGAGGTGTAGGTGTTGAGTGTAGAACTCATTCTATGAAGAATGAAGTATTGTATATACAAAACATTATCGTGGGAGAAACTTTTGGTTCAGGACTGGGAATAAACTTCATTTAGATCCAGTTCCGCAGCGAATACTAACAAGTACTTTGCCTCAGTTTCTCGAAAATATCAAGATGAAGGACCCATGGAGAAAGTTGCTACTGTGACGGATACGCTTCTAAATTTGGACGCATTTACATGCCAAAAGTTCCCAAATTTTTGCTTCATGGAGATACGTTCCAAGCAACACATGCATCTAAATGACGTTTATCCGACGTTACCGCAACGTCATTTTGGTCGAGTCACGTTGCAGCAATGTTTCATGGACGTCACGTGTTGCTTGGGATTATTATAATAGCTTGCTTGCACCTCCAAAAAAATAAATGGCTACTCTGTCCCAAGCACGCCAGGTACTCACGCACTCACTCACTCAGGCACTCACTCTCCTCGACTTTTATTGGCCTTGATCCCAGAATTTCTTTGAACTAAAGGATGTCTCCCTGGGACTGGTTCAGAAGCCTCCTTCTCACTCCTTACCCCATCGAAGAAAAAAAGGTCATGTTGTATGAACTGATTTGGGTGGAAGTATTCCGTGCAGATGCTATCATATCCGCAAGATAGCCGTCGAAGATGATTTCATTTGCACATGTCCTTTTTCAGAGGGTTATCATGTCTATTCGACTTCACGATACACACGAAGGCAAATCTTCGATGTGAAGAAAATGGCTTAGGCGTTCTGTCACCTAAGGCCAGTTCTAAACCGTAGAGACTTAGATTAAACCAGCTTAGATGACAGGACCCAAAGGCATGCCAAAATAACATCCGACCGAGTAGAAGTACTTTTACAAGGAGTGAACTGGGGTCATCAGAATAAGACAAAGCTTCTTGGCCTAAACTTCCTCGGCGCACATGCTGGGTGACATGAAAAAGAATTTCACATCCTGGGGACATTTGAAGAAAACGATGTCAGTGTCTCTCCGGCCCCCATATTATCTTCCTACATAATATTCCAAACCAGCTTGGTTCTGACTCCATTTTCCAGAAAAAGGAAAAAAAAAAACACATTACGGATGCGGTGAAGGTGAGCATTCCCCGGCATTCCCCCTCGAGAAATTTATGTCTTGTCATGGGAGGAAAGGAAGGAAAAGTCCCTTTTCCTTTCTCAGCATGGAAAGAATGACTATTCATGACGAACTCTCTTCCAAATGTTCAATTAGAAAAATGAAGTTAGATTTAATTTGTGACTTTTCCCATCTCTTGTATCCTTGGTCCTTCTGTGCAGAACAAGGTACAACAGGTGACACGCACAAGTGGTCACGAGTGGAGCATTCTTTTTCCGTTTTCGTGGAAAAGCGAATTTCAAAGTGAAAAAATCTGTAGGACTATTTCCCGGAGAAAGCGTAATATCGAATTTTCACTCTTAAAATTAATATGTATTTTTTAAACGAGTCAATAATTGCGACTGTCATTGAAGTCTTTTGTTTTAGTCGATAGATTGGGCGGGAATAAAACACGAGAGAATCAATGCAGGTTAAGCGTGAAGAGAAAGTACTTTTTTCGAAACAGGAGAATTCCATGACATTTCATGTTCAATGTTTGCCTATCGATGGAGAGGAATTTGGGGCTCAAAAAGAGCGAATTCAAATAGTTCCTTTTTTTTACATATTTTTCCCGCTCCGTCTCTTTAGAGAAAGTGAAAAGGTTGGTTTCACCCTTGGGGATAGATATCTCAATAAATCTTAGAGATTGTGGAGAGGTTAAGTGGTGAAACTTGGTATAGGGCCAGACTTAGTACCGTAACTAGATAAATATCGTTGGAAAGTGTTAATTGGTTAAGCCAAAACCTTCGGTATCGTCAGTTATTGGTAGGGTGAAAATTCTTAAAAACTTCAAGTTATACAGTGAAATTTGACTCAGACACCGTTAATACTGAACGAAGACAAAATAAAAGTTAAGCTTGAAAATTGTTTAATGGGAGAGCCACAGTAAATGTTGCAATAAGAATGAAAGGCTGCGCGTTAGGAAGGGGCTCTAGTGGCATATTCGCATTATTAAGATTGAACTTATGAAGGAGCGTAAAATGAAAAAATGTCAATGATCAGTAATGCCGGATGGTGGATACGTATGCAGTATTTCATACGATGTCGATGGTGCTTAATGCCGGATCGACGTAAAAAAAAAAGTTGATAAATAACAGATGTTGAATGCCCAAGGCAATCACAAGCAAGGCCTAGAATCAGGGATGCACAACCTCGGGCAAGCAGCCGGATAAAATCCTACCGCTAGTACTGCCATCCAACAGGTTATGCCATCCCATTGAAGATCGTCCTGCGTTCCCCGATGTCCGGCCAGCGATGTGTACCCAGTAGTCACTGGGCGTATTCAGTTGTGACCCGAGTCATGACTCGAGGGTGCTCAGTTCGACACTTGCATTGAGGCTTCGAAATAAATTTTACTCCATGGTGACACCTCTTGTCGATGTCATCAATCCTGGGTGTAATAGCTTTTGAAAAGCGCCCCACCTGCCGAGAATCATGAACCTCGAGTCATGACCCGGGTCACAACTGAATGCGCCCACTGTCTGGCCCTTGGGTAAAAAAGGTTGTGCATCCCTGGCCCAGGCGGTCAAGATAGAACGAAAATAGATAAATATGAAGGTCGGCAATGGTATCAAGCAATGGGGAAAAAAATCCTTCCTCTTCTGAAACAATCCCGAAGTTGCATCACCCTTGCGAAGGAATGACTCAAACGTTGCACCTACGGTTGTACTTAACTTAGGAGTTACACACAACTAAAAAATATCGTCAGCCAGGATCGTATGAGCCATAGATGGCTTATTTGTGATCCGACCGAATTCTGGTATCTGCCACCGAAGACACGATCTTGCGGAAGTAGAGTCGTGGTTTCGTGATGAGCTTATTTGTCCCTCCATAGGAAAGGGAGAGATGGATTTGATTGCATTTTTCTTACGTTCATTACATTCACCAAGGAGAACTTTTTCCTCTTGCGAGATTATTCTTAGAATTGTTCAATGCTTTCTCTGATCTTAACTTGATGTAAATCTTCCTACCTCAATCCACAAGGTAGGAAGGTTTACATCGGCTATCATTTACCTTGACAGATGCCACTAGTCGCATCCGTATCGCTTGTGTTCTGGTTAATAAAAAGCTTATTCGACTTTCACTCCAAGCAGGTTTTTATCCTCCTCGACTTCCCTGCATTTCTACACGTTCTGCACGTATGCGCGACATTTTTGCCATCGACCTGATTCTTACCTACAATTCCGCTTCCGACATTTCCAAGCGAAACCGAACAGATGCTCGCCTGCGGTGCGAGTGCCTTCCGGTCTGATCTCTTCTTACTCTTTGACTTGTTCAATTATTCGACAATTCAGCTTCAAAATAACGTCACATATTGAAAAAGTTCCCATCGTCGACTTCCCACCTTGTTTGAGGGAACTTTCCATCCTTCGAGACGTTATAAAGCGAAGGCTTTCATAATTCAGATGAACCGAAAGTATGCTGAATGCTACGAGAGCATTGCAACATGGGAAGTTGAATGTTTTTGGACATCATTGGCACAAAAGAAGGAAATTAGGGTTTGGAATCAGGTTGGTCGAACTATCGAAACGTATGTCGACGAATGGACATTACGTCGAAGAATAGTTGGACGAAAGCGATCATTCATTTAAGGATGTGAAAAATCTGAAATGTGAAAAATGTGAATACCACTTAAACAAAGCCGAAATTTTGAGTGTTTCTTCGCCAAACTGGGCTCTAATTCGTTTGCGAACTTGGTTCGATGCCTTCGTTAGCAAAAACATGATCCCAATTCTCTGTTCAAGGACCGAATTAACTGACTTCGGCATTTTGCCTATCAGACGACACACAACGGTTATCCCAGGATGTTGTTTCTTGAGGTCTCCTCTACCAATCCATATGCACAACTTGCGATTTTCTGAATGATGCAAGCCTCTAAAAGCAGAAGTCCACGAATGACTTGAACCACCCTCGTAATTCTTTTTTCGGACAGGGCAAACCTCTCAGACATGATCGTCCACCTCCTGTAACATCAATAATACTGTATAACGGAGAACGTTTGCTTCTAAAGGAAAGACTGGAATAAACCTGTTCTGCAACATGGTCTTCATGCATATAAATCTTCTTTTGCTGCGGTGAAAGTGCCACATGGTCCAGAGAGGTACTTTCAATGTGAACGGCATTTATAGGAGAGTGAAAATAAATGGGCAAATAATATATAACACTTATGTTCGACCTGGAGTGACCTCCACATCAATACCTCTTCTTCCTCCGAAGCAGGTCTCTTCAAGTAATTTTTTTATTCATTGCTTATCGAGATAATTCAATACTCCTCGACCAACGGAGAGCGATTAATAGCTGAAAGATCGTGACTTCCACTCAGGAGTTGCAGTTTCGATTTCATATTTCTAGCCCATTGTTTCCTGGCCCTTTCGCTCTTGTAAAGCTTCCAAACGTCACGTGGCAAGAAATTTACATATCCGAGTCTCTAGCTCTGTTACATCTTCCGATCTCGACAACGCTCATTAGATGAGTTTCGGTCATTTGAATCGCAGGAGCAAA